AATACAGCACAAAGTGTAACAGTCAATTTTATATGGTAGGAAATAGTTGTGCATTGTTCTGATGGAAGAGTAAATTTGATAAAATGCTATATTTGTTCAATGAGAATGACTATTCAGCATGGTTGAGTTCTCTCTACAATATGTCACGGGAACCTACTCCAATCATTTTAATCGTAAACAATGCTGCTGCTTCTTGCAGTGGGTTAAATGCATGCAAATTGGAACCTACTGTTTCATGAGTGGTCAGTTCTTTGTTGGGAGTGGAAAGAAGTGCTGTATGTATTGCCGAGAGACTGAAGGAAGTGTAGTCAGCATATTCATTCTAAAGTCTCGGCATCTCATCAAGATGCTACTTTGGAGGCAATGCTTTCCTGTTTCTCATCTTTTTAAACAACTTAGCCTGCTCTGAAATCATTACAAAAATCTCTAAGCAGAGGAGCATCTACCATTTCTAGTGCAGGCCCCTAGTATAAATAGAGCTGTGCATGCCACCTGTGGTAGCAGATGGCAGCCATTCACAGCTTCCTTTTGTGTCAGACCTGCATTAGATGCAATAATTGCTTTTATGTTTTAATAAGAGTGGTTTAAAAAATCTATAGTGGCAATAAAACACAGATATATGTATTAAAGAGATAGTTTACAGTGAGGATCAAGTGCAAACTGGAACCTAAAGTAACTTAAAAAAAGTTACATTGCAGGCTTTTACGTGAATTTGTAGTGTTTTTCACTTGCATGATGTTGATGCTTTTGTTTGCCACATAGTGGCAAACTGGTGCTGCTTCACTGTAGAGAATCAGTTGGGTTTCCATGATCAGAACTACACTTGGGGGTATTTAAATAACACCCAGAGTCTCCAGATTCAGGACCTGAGCTTAGGAGGTTATCATGATGAATTTTTTAGGTTATAATTAAATATACCTTATCTATTCATGGCAGATGCATCTTGTAGGAAGTTCCCTACTGTTCAGCTCCTGCTCTCCCTTATGCTGATACAGGTATTTGTGAAGCTGAAATGAAAGAAACCAGTTCTTTCCAGAAGAGTAATTTAAAAAAAAAAGTAATTTCAGTGTTTTGGGGTGTGGTATTAACCCTTAAGGGAGTGCCAGTGGGAATGGGAAGAGAAGAGGGAGAGCTTGGAGTTTGCCGAGTGACCTTCATTGTTAGAAGGAACATAAGGCACCATATTCTGGTAGTGAACGGAAACCCAAGAAGATGCTGTTGCTGTAATGATATAACTCACAATATTGTGAGGAAAGGTATTTTATTCCCCTGATTCCCTTAGAAATGACAGTTACCTGGAAACTCGGGAGTGTTCTTCCCTGTAAGATAAGTTTAGTTGTGTAGTGCAAGAGTGCTACAACTACAAAGGGCTGTTCTGTAAGCCCTCCTAACTCTGGGGGGGTAAGGAGGAAGAAAGGAAATAATTTCTTTATTTCAGGGTTGAAGGAAAGCCTTATTTCTCTGCTCCAGGCTTTCAGAAAAAGTCAATTTTCAGATGCAAGGAGTGAAAACCATGACAAGAGGCAAATACTCAGATGTGTTTGTGCTTCTTCAAATTGCTCTCATCTATCCTTTTGACACCTGTGTGAACTGGTGATATAAATGTTTTGAAAGCAGGCATGTAGAGCAAATTGGAAGTTGCAGTTATGATGGATGGGTAAATGGAGTGGAAAAATGGGTGTGCTGAAATGCAAGTGGGATTTAAAATTCTACTAGATCTACTTGAAAGATTAATTAGAGAAGATACAAAAACTTACCCTAGAGGCAGTGGAAAGCAGGATGAGAAAGATAGACTGACTAAGAAAACTGGTGCAGAAGGGAAGACTTTTTTTACAGAGATAAAGTTAGATTTGGCCAAATTCACAATGAGTAGCTAATGGTGGTAAACCCCTCTTAAAGTTAAAACATTCTTTAGCTATCTTAATAAAAAGAAAACTAGCAAAAAGTGTGGATTTGTCATGTGATTATGTGATAGATGAGGAATGGTTTAGTCATGGACTCTAGACTAAATTAATAAGGAAAAAGCCATGGACCAGTGGCGTAAAAGCAACGTACATGCTGGGATCTAGAAAAAATAGTACAAAAAAAGGTGTTTCCAGCAGAAATAGTTAAAAAGCAACCAATACCAGTAAATGCCTTTCTAGTCATTTGCATTGGAAGTGGATGCATACAAACTGGAACAAATGCAGAGGAAAGCTGTGGGTTCCACAAATTCAGAACTGCTTTGTGAGGAGGAAATAAAAGATTGGGGTTATTTGTCTGGGCTATGATAGATAGATAGATAGATAGATAGATAGATAGATAGATAGATAGATAGAATTACTGACAGTAAAGTCAAACACACATGCAGGGAAACAGAATTTTTTTAAGGGAAAGGACCATTCTGAAGCAAGAAGTGATGTACAGATGTTGGTAATCAGTAAAACCAGGAGTTAGACAATAACTTAACAATAATAAGAGCAATAGGATTCTAATAAAACCACTCAGTTGTAATAGGGAGAAGCCTTATTCCCTTTAGGCTGAAGCTTGATAACTTTGTAAAGAGTGTATGGTGGGTCTCTGATAATACCAGAATAATTTCAAGTTGGTGACACTGGAGATACTGTCAAGATTTATGTTTGTATAATGAGGGATATTTTGTGTCTACAAAAAAGTCAAACATCATACAAAACACCAATCAATTTTTTAAAATAAAATTAAAATTTCCTCACTTTAATACTAGTTTATATTTAATACTATATTTAATACTAGTGGGACCATCTTTTTAATAACAAAAATTAATTTTGTTCATGTGGTTATGACAAATTGAGTTCAAAGCTATGCCAGTAGTACATGGTAACAAAAGGCAAAAGAAATATCTGCAGTGCAGGATTGCAGAAGATGCTGATAGAATTTGAGGGAAACTTAAACAAGAAGTCTCACTTCTGATGCAAATCTTGGGAACTAAGAGCCTGATGTGAGTATGGGCATAATGGTGTCATTCTAAATTCATGAAAATAGCTTTACGAATGAAGGAGAGGCAAAGTGGGGTCAGTGCAATTCAAACACATGATGACAATTTTAGCCTAAATAGAATGCTCTTTGTGACTAGATGAATTAATTACTGTAAGACAGTGCTCTTGCTTGTCATCCTGATTCTTTCTGCTTGTTAATCACTCCTAAATTGTAGCTATTGCAGTAATATTAAGATTTATTGCTTACAAAATTTTGCTTATCTATATTCTAGTTTAGTGTTTTCTTGTGCATTAATGTAAATGTTTTGAAATGTTTCTAATTTCACATTTGTTTTGTCCTCTGTAGTACCTCTTTCTGCATATTAATTATTGTTCTACTGGAACACTGTATAACTGTTTTAGATGTTTTGCTTTCATAGTCAAGCTTCATTTATCTATTCAGCAAATTTGATGACATACCAAATCTGAGCTGAGAAGGCGATTACTGTACAAATAATAAGTTAAGTGGTGATGAGAAGGAACATCTGTAGAATGGTTTAGCTTACCCTTTGTGCCTCGTTGGTCTTGTAGCAATTGCAGTATTTCCCTCCCTGTGTGTAATGGTGCTAACACATTTTGGGAAACTCCTGAAGGTACTGACAAAACTCGGTTTGCTATGGGTGGGACGAATTTTCCTGGGTTAACCACACAGAAAACTTTAAACATGAAGACTGGGAAAATCCATATTCAATATGATGAATTAGAGTAAAACTGAAACAGACCAAATAATAATAATATGGAAATGGAGGCTTATTTAATTGCACAAGGAAACATTTATCTTGAGTTGTATAATTTATTGTGGTCTTACTAAGTATGTTTTTTCCTTGCACTTCTTCTCAAAGACTGCTTTTGAAAAAACAAATAATTGGGGGAATTAATCTTCTATTTATCCAAACTATTCTATGTTCTTTCTCTATGTTTTTTTTTGTTTGTTTGTTTAATTGCAAAGATCATTTGCATGAAAATGGGATTTTAAGACTTGAACAGTTTCTGATACTTTTTCCCAGATACATGGAGTAAACTGTATTTATTGTAAACAAAACCAACTTTCGTTTTGTAAAATTCCTTGCATGCTTTGTCTACACTGAATTATTAATTACTCTTTGAGAATATAGTTTTAAAAGTTGCATTGGAAAATATATACTGCTAATGTATAGAATTCTCTTCCCTTTTCCCTTTACTGATCATGTCTTCTCATTTCTGTGGTGAATGAAGATACACTTCTGTAGTTCCTCCATTCTCTAAAATAAGCAGTGTCTTATGCTACACCAAATCTTTTAAATCAGACTGAAGTTTGCAGAAGTTGTTTCAGGTTTTTTTTTTTTTTTGGCTTTCCAAAAGATCTTTGTAACGATTTCTTTAAAAAGAAAATAAAGTGATTTATAGTAAAAGTTACCCAGAATGAGGTGGAAATTCAGAAATGGAAATTTAATTGGGATGTATGATCTGGCAAAGATTACTAATGATTATCAGCAGAGATACTACTTTAGTTTGGGCACAAATTGGTCACTGTATTGTGGGAAAAGTAGAAGGGAGAGGGTCAGTACCTTGCCATACGAGTTTTGATAGCTGAATTTAATATTGTATACCTGGTCAGTAAAGAATTGAAAAATTTCTTGCGTGGTCTTCCAAAATGAATTTATTTCCAAAATGTACATTAAATTCTGGATTGAGAATTTAGATAATGTTTTGTGTTACAGTGTTTAATATTTTTAACATTTAGTATTGTAGTTATATTTACCATTTAGTTTATGCTTTTTGGGAAGATGTGTATTTTTACTGCTGTTCTCCAAGCTGGACTTCAATACAACAGATCTTTCTTAGATTATTTTTATGTATTGATTGCTTGGAAAATCTGAAAATTCTAGTAAAAAAGAGTAAATTTTATTATTCTATTTAATGATATATTAAGAAATTTATGAATTCATGTTGGAAGTATAGAATACTAAACTTAAACCATAAAATAAATCATTATCTGAAATTTAATTATGATTTCTATTCATTTAGATTTCTCATATTGGAAAGCTGAAAGATTTTCTTCTACAACACAGAAAGGATTATATTAATGCTTACAGGTAAGTGTGCACTGTATTTAAATGGGTTTATCTATTTTTTATTTATTTGTCTTAATGTTTGTAAAGTGAACAGCTTTAAAACCCGTAGGTATAATGACTGAAACCAAAATAGAGATTGTTATTAATTGGCTTGCTGTAAACCACTATAAGATGAAAGAGTAGTGCTGTCACAAGAAAACAGTGTGCCTGAATAAAATGAGACTCAGAATCTGAAGATGATTTCTGGCTCTTAGGAGTGAGTTCTGGAATAAAACAGCCTGACAGTCAAAGTCCCACACGTTTTAAGGACCTGCAGAGTAAGTTTCTGAAGGGGTTCCTGAGACAGCAAGGTGATCCAGGTTTTCCCTTTTACTCTCTGATACTAAACCTACCTGTCAGGCCAAAGTATAAAGTCCAGTAGCATCAGCAGGTCCTGGAGGACAATGATGCAAACTCTTCAGGCTCTAGAATGTGAATTCCAGGTGAAGGAATTCAGTGAGAAGATGGTGCTAGAGGACAGCAGCACAATATTTTTCTGTGACAAAGACTGTGGTAGTTACTATCATGTGAAGAAAGTTTTGATTCTCTTCAGCCACTAGGAAGCATTCAAAACTACTGTTATCTGTTTACCTGTAGGTAACTTTAGTAGTAGGACTTTTAGAAGATTAAAACACAAATTTACAAGTTGGTGTTTGTAAGAAAAAAATAGTATCTTCTGGTCTGCAGATACTAAGTCAAGTTATCATAAGATCTGAATGTTAGTGCAGCTTGTATTTTGGTGAACTGAGTACAAATCATTGTAGCATGTAAGAACTGTAAAATTTGTTCTGTAGTGAAACTTTGTTACATGCAAACTGGTGAATCAGCCCTGTCTGCATTCCAGTTCCGACACAGCCCTAACTAAAGCTGAGCCGTTGCTTCAATCAAGGTAGATAAAATGCAGCCTAAAATCATTTTGTGTTAAAAGCTTCCTAGATACCAAATAGAAGTGGTATCCAGATATTCTTTTCCCAGAAAAGAGAGATGAGCCATCTGCTATTCCTTAGGCTCAGTCCATATTGGAGGAACAGTTTTTCTGAGAAACATCTCTGATCTTGAAAGGGTCTGTCACAGTGATAGCAATACTACCTCATCAGTGGAATCAAAGTGTGTTCTGAGTAAGTTATCAGAAGACTTCTGGCTCCCTTTTTTGTCTCCACAAGAGCAAAGGAAGGTGGCTTCTTTTGGCTAAGTGAGGGGCTGTGGGAGCTCTTCAGTCAGTGCTGATGAAAATGCTGCTCTGGGTGTGCACAGTTCTGTGAGGTGGATGATGGGTGCTTTTCCAAGGAGCAAGCAGAAGTAGTGCACAGCTCTGTGTTACGCCTGGCTCTCTGCTTTTCAGTGCCTACTGGAATAGGGCATGAACAACACTAGGTGGAGCCAGCAATTTAATACTGGCAAAACTGGGTGTACTGTATGAAAACTGTGTGTGTGCAGAGGTTGAGAAACTGCAAATAATTCCAGTAAGAGCAGTCAGCAGCGATTAAATTTTGGGTAGTGTTTGTATTTTATTAACAGTACTGTGCATACAATGGAAGTGGTTAGAGTAAAAGTATGTCTAGGTTATTTTGATTTCCATAAATTTTTAATGTTCTTTTTGTAAATAAGTTGCAACAAGTTATCATGGTAATTCCCAGTACTTTTCACCTTCCTCTCCCCCTACCCAAGTCTTAATTAAGGAGAGCAAAGAAGTGTAATTTCCTTTATTAAACCATAAAATAATTCTGCATATCTCATCTATGATTGCATTTGATTCTGTTCTTAATGGTCAAACTTAAATAGTTTGTTTAATTTGACATAAAAATGTCAAATTCCATATTGGATTATTTGTGCTGTTCTGCTTCATGGATGCAAAGAGCATCACAGCATGTGTGCTGTCAGTCTTGCAGTCTTAGCAAATGTCTCACTCAAGACAGCAGTTTTAACAACTCTTCAATACTTAAGTAATGGGGACAGCTTTTGAACAATTTAATACTAAAAGGCTGTGCTGAAATTTATATAGGAGATGTCAAATTTCATTAACAGAATTACTACTCTGTATTTTGTCAGTCCTGCTGTTTGTTCTCCCAGCTATAGGACAATGTATTGGTGAAATTGAGCTTTTGAGTTACCAAGTTGTTTTATTGTGTGCCTTTTGAAACTTCTTCATAATGTGTTACAACCAGGTTCTTGATTGCTTCTTTGACCTTACCTTTGAAGACTGTGGATTCTTTAATAATGGAGTTTTTATTTTTGGCATACATGAAATATCCTTCTGCAGAGGAGATGTCTTTAATTCATTTTTAGAGGAAAATTTTTAGCAATGAGAAAGTCAGTTGGAAGAGTGGGTATTTGAAACCAAGGCCCTGACCTATTTTATCAAACTTCAACTACTTAACGAAAATACCTAAACTGACTTAGTAGTTGTTTATTCACCTTCTTCTTGATTTGACTATTACCTATAAAATATTTAAGTGGCAAAACGCGTGAAATTCATGATGTAGTGATCTAAGCTTGCTAGTGCACAGGCCACTGCACCTTTATCCTCTTCTGTTTATTAGGATTTATTTCCTTTCTCTTACAGGTAGGGTTTTGCCTTCCGTGATAAGGAATTTATTAGTGAGCGAGTGGCTCTGTAGACTCAGTGCCCCCATAGTGGGATGGGGGAGAAAATCAGAAGAGTAAAAAATGAGAAAACTCATGGGTTGAGATGAAGGGAGTTTAATAAGGAAAGAAAAAGCCACATACCAAGCAAAGCAAGGAAATTATTCACCGTGGGCAGGCAGATGTTCAGCCATCCCCAGGAAAGCAGGGCTCCATCACACGTAACAGTGACTTGGGAAGACAAATGCCATCATTCCAAATGCTCCCCCCTTCCTCTTTTCTTTCCCCAGCTGTATGTGCTGAGCATGAAGCCATATGATCTGGAATATCCATGTGGTCACTTGGGGTCAGCTGTCCTGGATGTGTCCCCTCTCAGTTACTTGTGCATCTGCAGCCTCCTCACTGGTGGGGTGGGATGCAGAGCAGGAAAGGCCTTGGTTCTGTGTAAGCCCTGCCCAGCAATGACAAAAACATCCCTGAGTTATCAGCACTGTTTCTAACACGAATCCAAAACACAAACCCCATTCTTGCTGCTGGGAAGAAAATTAATTCTATCCCAAGCAAAACCAGTGCACACAAGTTGATCACTTTTCCTGGAAAGGAGAAGACAGGGACTCTTGAGTCCTGAAGTTGTTAACAAGATGTGGGTACTTTTTAATTTTTCCTTATTAAGCAATAACTCCTTTCAGATGAGGATTTCAGATGAGGTCCCATTCTTAATATACTGACTGCTACACATTCTGTATTCTTCTTCTCAGTCCATTTTCTGTAGTGCTTTTCTACACTGCCTTTCACACTGTGTTAGGAGAAGATCCCATCTTCAGTCTTTGCTAACTTGTCTCATGTCTCATCTGTGAACAACTTGTGCCTTTGCTTTTCATCATCAACTCCTTCATGTTTTTGATCACTGAATCACCAAGGTAATTCCTATGTTTGTGTTAAATATACTTCAAGGAACTAGTTGTAGTGCCCTAAGACCTGGAAATTTGAAATGATCCTCTTGGGATTCCTTCACAGCCTTCAGTTTCTCTGAAGAAAGGTTTAAGTATTTTAATTCCAGTCATTATTCCTACTGTTCTAACGAGAATGTTTAATTGGAAAGGAATTGTGAGAATTCTAGATTTTTACCACAGAACACCTCATACTTAAAAGAAAAATACTTGAGAGAAGAGCTTTCCATCTGGAATTATTAGACATCCAATTAATTGTGTTTTGCAACTGCAGAAATACTTATGTAGTTGATCAGTGTAGTGTAGATGACTTCTGAATAGAAATGTCCCTTTTTCCACCAGAAAGGCTGCTTTTGATGGGAGTGGCTTTTGGTGTATCTTCATTACATGCTTCTGTGGTCCTTCTGTACAGTTAAGTGCGTGAACATTTGTTGTTAATTGCAAATAATAGACCTTGAAAAAACTATTAACAAATTATCTTTCTGTCCTGAAAAGTAATGTTAGTGCCCAGTAATTATGCCTCTTGCCCTAGCATTTATCTATCTCTGTCTCAAGGCAATAAATCAGTTACAGCATTTGCCACTTAATAGAAAATAATTGAATGCATACACAGCATTTTGTGGAGAGTGTTTCTTTGTATTTAACAATAAAAGAAGTAGCCATTAAAGGACTCTAAAAATACTATTTTACTGACTCCTGTACTCCAGGCTGCATTCTTTTCTTGACTTAGCCACGTTTTTACAAGAAGTAAGGCCTGTTTTGTTGTATTGAGATGGTAAAACATGTAGGTGATCTATAAAGACTTCATTCCTGGAGGAGCGTATTTTTCTGTTATCCAGGGAATTATTTTCGAATTATGTATGTATGTATTTATTTATTTATTTTTAAATTACACGGAATTAGTATTTCATATTTCAAAAATAGTAATTTTTTATAGTAGCACTCTGGAATAACTCACCAATATTTTGCAAAACTGAAAATGCTAATTCAAGTTTGCCTGTATTGCCTATTCTAGTGGCTGAGGCTTTCACGCCATAAGTCTAAAATTAAAAAAAAATCCAAAACCATTAAAGTTGTTATGGAATGTTTTCTCATTTGAATTGAGGACCTTTTAGCTTGGATTTATGTCAGACAGCATTTGTATGGAAAAAGACAGTAAATGAAAAGGCATAAAACTTAGTTAAGTAAGAAATCAAACAATTTACAATATACTAGATGCTGAAAGGGAAAGATGCGACTGCTGCATTTGCGGCTAAGGTTATACATATCTGTATGTTCGCTTAACACATGGGAGCATTTCTGTATGGATTTGCAAGGCAGGATCTGCAGGTGGTAAGTTGGGAAAATATTATTTTACAACTGATTTCTGCTTATTGCTTCTAACTTTTTTTTAATACACTGTTGGAGGAAAATCAGTTTTTTCTTCTAGATTTATTACCTTCATTGGATTAGTAAGCAGAAGATATTTTAGGTAACAGCATAATTACTAAGTCCAAAAGCTGATGTAACGTTGGCTTTGCTTCCTTGCGCTTTGCCAGCAAAATAGGATCATAGAAATGTTAGGCTGGAAGGACCATGGCTGCAACATCCAAAAAGAGAATGACTAGTGTTTTCATGCTTTTAAATACTTCTTTCTGTGAAGATTTCATATTCTCATTCTGCTTTTTCCTGTTCCCCTATCCATGTTACTAGAATAAAGTATCCCATTGTAATGATGATTTTTTTATGCAACAACATGTTGTTGTGTTTGGTTTATGATACAATATGATCCCAGATGACTTTCTGAAGAACTGTTCCCTAATCAGTTGTTCCCCATTCTCTGTGGGTTCAGATAATTGTTCTTGCTGCAGCAAACAGCTTCTGACCATTCCCTATTCAAATTCTTTGTGTCATTTCTCCAAGCAATATTGTTTTGAATTGAGGTCTTGTTCTCTTGATATGGTTTTAATTTGCTTAACTTTATACATCTGAACATTTAGTAAGTATATAGATTCTGCTGAATCATTAATGAAAATATTAAATAGCATCAGTTTTGGGACAAAATCCTGTGAAACACAACTCAGTGTTTCCTTCTGTTTTGGTATATAACTACCTGTAAGTTCAACTTTGCAGTTTCACATTCATATGGTGCTTATTTCTTTTAACTCATTTATTCATTGGTAGCTTATGAAAATGTTATGTGGGGTGATAACAACAGCCATACCAAAACACAGGAGTGATTGCTTTTCATCTATCCAACAGTAAAGATCTGTTACTGCATCCCAGCAGTAAATTACCCTGCCTATCATGTACTACTGATACATCTTGGGTACTGGTAATCTTTCTGTTCTTTCCTAAGTGCTTAAATGTTGCTTATTTATTCCTGTATTTTTTCTAGAGTGAGTGGTCTACAAATGTTCTGTGCTTTTTTTGTCCCTTTAACCCTATTTTCAAAGATAGTTGCTAACCTTTGTCTTTTTATCAATCTGTCATTTGCTTATTCTCTCCTGTTCTTGGCAGTGAGGACGTCTTGTCATTTGATGCATTTCCCATTTTATTCCAGGGCTTGGTCTCCTGTCTCTGCCCACTGTATGAATGTGCATACACCCTGGGCTGTTTTGGAAGTCGGTTAGTTCCGTTCAAGAGCACAGCTTTGTCACACAGATAGGAGGGATATGCACTTCACCAAGTTTACCTTCAGTGTTGTCCCAGGAGCCACTGCACCTTCAGGTACACTTGTGCTATGACCTGGTTCACGTAGCTCTCTCTCACACACTGTTCACTCAGCAGCCTGATGGTAACATCAACAAAGAATTACGATCTTTTTAAAATGACAGAGATATTAAATTTGGCCCAGGTGATTTAAAAGCAGTAAGCTAAAAGGAGTAGTAACTGCAGTTTTCAAGTGACATTAATGATGAAAGTTAGTGCAAAAAAGACCAAAACAAAGCAATAAACATCTTGAATTAATTCATACAATGCATATAATTTTACTTCTCTGTTTAGTAACAAGCCAGTACCACATTCTTAAGTGTTTCTTACAGTAATGTTTGCAGGGCAATCTCTTACTATCACTGGCATCCCTTCCCAGTTGTGTTTCATCCTGTGCTTGATCCTTTTCTGTGTCCCTGCATGCTGTGTTCCTTTAGACTTTTCAATAGAAATCAGAACTAATTTGCACTTTGTATTCTGATCTTTCTGTTTGAGCTCAGCAAAGCTCAGTTCATCCCTCACTGTATTGCCTATTCTTCCTTTTCATTAAGGACAGAATTGCAAATTATCATAATGTAATTTCTCTATGAAAACTACTAGTTCATCTGAATTCTTGTCTATTCCTTTTTAGGTTTTTTTCTATTCCTTTTTTAGGTTTACATTTTCTTTGCAATTTCACCTACTCATTTTTCTAGACTGGTGAAATCTGCCCACTTGATGGTCACTGTCTTCATTGTACTCTTCACCCACTGTTAAAAATGACAAATAAACCAAGTTGCCTTCTAGCCCAAGTTTCTTATGAGTTGCTGTCATATTGGCAAGGATGAAAGTTCAGAGGAATTTATTTTCTTCCTTTCTCCATTCTTTATCTGTGTATATCTTGGCTAATTATTCTGATTGCTTCTGAAAAACCTGATTTTCATAGCCCTTCTTGATTTACTGATGAACAGTCCACTGCTGTGATACTGCCAGTGCACTTCTGAGCATGAATTTGTGTCTCTGACATACAAGACACAGCTGGATTTTTTTTTCTGTTGTGTTGGTTTTTGTTTGATGTTTTTATGTGGTTTTGGTTTTCTTTGGCCTGTTTTATTTTAATTAATGGTTTCTCTTCTGGTAGAGGATGGTGATTAAATGGATTTTCAGTATAATCTTCATGTGCAGATTTACTGGGGAGTGCAGTGGGGACTTCAGTACCCTGTTAGTACTAGTGGATGCCATATGTGTTCTGCTATAATGGGATGTGATTGTATGACTCCATTCTTGCCTTCCCAAGGAGGTTGGGTTTCAGGTATCCTTCCCTCTGAGTGGCTTGACCAGCTCAAGTTCAAAAGCACTGGTACCAGATACTATGTAAGCTGTAAGCAGTTATAAAAGGAAAAGTATTCTGTTTCTTGTTTACTGAATTAAGCTGCATTTTGCTAGCTTTGAAGCTGTGAAACTCCTATTTAAGAATTTGATCTACCCTGTTTTTCTATAAGCAACTAGGAAAAGTAACTTAACAACTTGGTTCCCAATGTTAAAAAGCTGTTGCAATTATCCTCAGTGTATCACTAGACTACCAGTAGTTAAACTGTTAATAAAAAAATGAAGTGTTCCTGAGGCAAGTTTTTTCATATTTATTTCTAAGTCTGATTTCAAAGAATATTCTGGTTTGTATTTTGTAATCTTTATTTTGCCTTCTTATGGTTAGAAGTGCATAGAAAGTGTAGGGCTCTGCAAATACTGCAAAACTGGGAAGGGTACAAGAAGCTAGACTTAAAACTACAAGAACTTTATATCCTGTTCAGTAGCAGACCAGCTAGAATTTATTATCGTAATCTGAAAAAGAAGAGTGGAATTTTTTTTTGTCAAGGAGCCATCATACAGCTGTTACCCAATCCTTATTTCCCACCTAAATCTATGTGCCCCAAAATGCTGAAGTAACTCTCTAGGCTGAGCTCACTGAATGACATTATGAATTATACCATACCAGATGGTCTTAATGGTCCCCTTCTGTCTTGGCCTGTGTGGAGATGGATGTAAGAATGGATTTCGTGGCTTTACATGTGCTTAAAACTTGCTTATCCAACAGACTAGCAACAAAAATACCTATACAAGCTGTGCAGAGGAACTAGGGGAGAGGTCTGACCCAATATATTTAACAATATGAGTTATCTTACCTTGGATTTGTGACTGTCATTGTGTCAGCCAAGTTGGGGAAATCCCCTCTTATCACCTATTTCTAAAATCAGGCAATTTCAAATCTTTCATCATTCAGAAGCTGCTTTCTCACAAAGCGTGATTTAGAGTTACAGCTTAGAAAAACACTGATTATGGCTGTGATAGGGATTTTGCCACAAATTTATGAAACCTGTCTGTCCTGAACAAAGGAGAGCAATGCAGCTGCTAAAAGATAAATGGAAACACTACATATGGCTGACTTTCTCTAATGAATAAAGAATAATTTTATGACATTTGGAGTAGTTTTAACCAGAGGGGGGAAAAAGCTCTGATATTTAGATGTCAAATACATGGCAGTTTTAGAAACAAACATGTAAAATATAGAACATTACTTCTATTAAGAAAAATTAGTTTGTCTTACTGTTTGCTTGCTAATCTGTGCTTGTGTACTAGCTGACCAATAAGCAGTAACTAATTTTCAAGTCAGATGAACTATATGCTGGTTTTTTTAATGTAAAACCAGTAATATGAGGTGGGAATGAAGAGATTTTGGTATAATACTCGAAGACTTTAGAGTATACTTATAGCTTTGTGGAGATGTGGACCTGTGCTTGCAGTACATTGATGATGAAGGAAGGAGCTGCTGGGTTTGTGTAGGATGAATTGATGAGATGGGATTGTGGACATTCCTGCACTGGGATTGCAGCAGACACAGGGGAGCTTTGGCATTATTGCAGTGAAGTGTGTAAGAGATCTCTAAGGATATCAGGCTAAATATTGAAGATCCTCTCTTTTTACTTGGTATACTGCATTAATGTAGTTGCATTACACATGAGGAAATTCTCACATATAAAAGTAATAATTTCAAATGTAGGTATGAGTTAAGGTTTTCTTTCCTTTTTTAAAAAGCAGATATAATAGGCTGTGATCACTACATCATCAGGAAACCCAAGATGGACTTTTTTTTACTGTAGCAGTTTTATCATCCTGTCACCTGTGCCTGTGGAAACATTGTTAAATAACTTTATACATTATGCTTTTCTGCTGGTTACCTACAGTGAATTAATATTTTAAGGACAGGCCTCCATTTATATTAATTTAGCAAATAAAGGATGTATTAGCATTAGAAAATATTAAATGTGTAATGTATAATCTAAAATAGAAATAAACAGTGGGAACAGGTTTTGATAAATATTGCAATTAATTTGATACTAAAATTGTGCATTATTTTCCAGTATTCTTCCTCTAGTTTGAATTCACAGTTTAATAGTACAGCTACTTTAAAAATTAAGCACTGTTATTAGGATAATGAAAACATATTTAAGTAAAATAAGTTCCTTTTTTTGTACTTCTTTCAGTATTGGAGCTATTCCATTATCTTAATTGTTTTTGTGTTTTTAGGACACTTTTTTGGAAGAAGTACCAAGGGCAATGATATATTTTCTAGTTGTATTTTCTCCTTATCTGCTCTGTGTTTGGTTATGTACAAGATGATAGGAGATACTGATTTTTCTACCTACTTTACTAGTAAAAGTGTTCTAAAAAAAGCCTCCCAACTTTATAGGAGTGGCATTTTATCAGTGGTAGTTACTGTACTTCTTATTACTTTTTCTGTGAAAATCAATATTGCAGAAATGTTCTCTCAAAGGTAGTGAGTCGGCAGAAGGTCTAAGGTGTGGATTTTATGTTGGGGATTTTTAAGTAACAAGTTTGTCTTGTTTCTCAGCCATATTATGTCTGAATTTGTGAGAATGACGGATACAGAGCGTGACCAGATAGATCAAGATGCCCAGGTGTTTATGAGAACGTGTGCAGATGCCATTCATCAGCTCAGAACAGAAGGTAAACTAAGCAGCTCTTACATGTTTTTTTTAGTTGCTGATAAAGGCTAAGGTAGTGCTGAATATTGGTAAATAATGGTGAATCTTAAATGCTTTAGGAAAAAGATTGGGGAAGTCTCATTGCCTTTTTGTTTGCTTTGGTGTAATCCCATTGGCTGATTAGTTCAGTAATTCCAGTATATTAATTCCATTTTCTTTAATGATAGTGGAAAGAGAAGCCAGAACATAGACTTTTGTTTATATGTTCAAATACACCAGTTAATAAGTGTAAAAAATAGTTGTAAATATTTGCTACTTGAGTGGTAATTCAGCACTGTGGCACAGAGGCCTAAACCAAATCCTCTGTATTTGATGCTTGTCTTTTGCTAGCTTGTCTACCTGTAACATATTTACAGGTATAATACTTCCAAGTTTGAGATAATTAAATAACTTTAACAGAGTCCTGGTAAGTGTTTTTGACAACTTGAATGAACCTTTACTATACTATCTTGTGAAAGTGGTAGAGAGAGAATTTCTGTGTTGCTGTTTTCAAGCTGACTTGCTGCATCTCAATTTTATTGATATACAGAAGGTTTTCATCAGCTTTAAAATGCCATCTAAACATGGTTGTAGCGTTATTCAGTATCAGTGAATGTCAGTCATGCATGGGAACTGCATAGTATAAAAATGAAAAATATCTATATATGTGCATTAAAAGGATGTTTGACACAATAAATCCCCAAAATTTCCACATAGTCTGTACACTGGAAAATTTGAACAAGTTCAATAATTCAAGCATGTTAAATCTCTAGATCTGTTTGCTGTTCTTAGCTAGATGTTGCCTATTCCTATTTAGAGTTTAAATTACATAATAGAATTCTGGTATATATAAAAATACTATAGGACACTAGTTATTTTCAGTTTTTGGTTTGTTGTAATCACTTGCTGTTTTAGAGAATATATATTTAAATATAGCTATGTTTAAAATAAATACTAATATATAACATATATAAAATGTAATCAGGCTTTTGAATATAACTTGCATATCAACTGAAAGTGCAAACTGTTGTAGAATTCAGTAAAAAAGTTAAAAGATGGTTTTATATTTTTCTTTTGTATTTCAGCACACAAGGGTGTCCAGTCTGCTCAGGTGAAGGAGCACAGAACAGCTGTCTTGGACTTCATTGAAGATTACTTAAAAAGTACTTAGTGTTTACTGAATAGTTACAAATGGATGATTGCATTTTCTGAGAAAGGAATCTTGCTCTTTTAACCAGGAATTTTGTTTACTGCTGCCTTGAACAGGAGTGTGCAAGCTGTATTCTGAACAAAGAGCCATCCGAGTTAAGCAAGTGATAGACAAGAAGAGACTGTGAGTAGCATCAAAAAATAGTTTAACTGTGCCTTTCACTTGTAGGACATTCAACAAAACTGTTGTTCATGTTTAGATTCTGAGGATATTGTTTTAATGGAAGTTTGTGGTTGGGTGAGCAACTTCTGCTGTCAACAGGTGCATTCCAGGGCTCTTTACTCTTCAGGCGTGTGAAGTCAAGTCTGAAAGTGGCAGAGTGCCATTATACTGTTGTAGTTCTCGTTTAGGTAAAGGATTAAAGCACCAAATCATTAAAATGTGGATTTAAAAACCTATTTGACTTCTACAAATTCACCAAAATATTTTTTTTTCTTTTTTTTAAAGGTCCTATCTTACTGCTAAACAAGTGACTGTGTTTTTAATAAATACTACTTGAGATGGCAGGTGTTCACGGCAAGCAGAAACATGATGAACATAAAAAAATATAATCTAACTTCTGAACTGAAACAAGAGTTTCTACTTCCTGTAGTGGCACTTGTTAAGGCTGCTACTGTAGAGCTGAAAATGTCTAAGAGACATTAAAGATGATGTGCTTGCTGCCTTTTTGGTCTGATGGGATTTTTTTTTTCACTCAAGTTTCAAACTCCGTACTTCTTCTCTTTCTTTTTCTGCATACTCCCAATTGTGAGAATGATAGAGAAAGTGAGCAGGTTTGCAATTTATTTAATACCTGAGAGGCTTTCCATGTCTTCTCACTCTGCAATATTTGAATGGGAACTTCAAGGTCCATTATCTATATTATAATGAAAAAAAATATAGTTCTAGAATCTAGTATCATTGATTTGTAATTTTCCTGAGGATTTCAGCAGATACTTTATGTGATAAGAACGTGTACCCTCTATTAAAAGAACTAGGCATCCTTTAAACAGTGCATCCCAGACACTTTGTTCATTTTAAATTGAAAGTTTCCTGTATTCCTATAAGGTGCACAGTAAGGACAATACAATTAAGGAATATGTTTCTTTAGAAATAAATTAATCCTAGTGCAGCTCTTCTTTCCTGCAGTTTAGTCAATTTAAAATATGTGGATATCACACAATACTGAAAACTTGGCCATAGAAATGTATTTCATCATGTTTCCTTTTATACTGATAATTACCCTAAGCTCTTCAACAAATTGCCTGAGTGTTACGATTTTCTTGCAGAGGTTGCCTTTATGTATTCACTCACATTTTTTGATTAAAAGATTCTGTGGTTAGGACTAGTTTTGCAGAAAGAAAAGCTGAGAAATAGAAACACAAGCATTTTTTTCTGTAAAGGTACTTTGTTGTGATTTTCAGTTTTAATATTTATTGGTATTCAAGATTATATTTAATTTCAATTTTAAACTTCTTTTTCCATGAGATTTTGTGTGTTATGTATGCCATTATTCAAATCAAGCTGATATTTTTACCTGGGGAATTGGTGTTTTCTTAGTATTAATACTACCACTTGAACTGCACAGATATGTAGATAAGTTTTGTTTATTATTATTATTATTATTATTAGGCAAATTTGAGAAGGAGGAGATGAGAGAATTCTTCTCTGTAAAATTACCAAAAGCCAGTACTTGGAGAGTTTTTTTTAACTAGAAAAGGTTCCCTGCTACTGTTTTTTCTTGTTAAATAGTGATCACTCAGTGATGACAATTGCATTATATTCTGTTTTTCACAGAATTTTCTAATTGTGGGTTAGAATTTAGACATAATGCAAAGAAGGTGTTACAAAAAGCAACACCTTCTGTTAGGCACAGGGAAAAATTAAAAATCATAATGAGATTAACTGTTGATTCTATTTGAGAGGGTAGGAAGTGGGAAGTGATTTGAGAGGGTAGGGTGGAATCACCTGGCACAGGAGGTAATTCCACCCGCTGGGTTTTGGATTTTTGGTTCTTTATCTTCTCCAACAGCATTACTAAACATTTAACTGCTTGCTGTGTAACAGTTACAAAATTCATTGCAGACAACAATAAACCACAGAAATTTACTGGAAAAAAATACCTTAGCAATAATTTTCAACCTGAAATATACTTGACAAGTACTTAATATATAATCATTGAATAAGCTTCTCACGTTTTGCATTGCCTTTGTATTAAAATTACCTAATAGGGACTTAGAAGTAGTATAAGAGATAATTCTATTGTATTTCCTTTATGATCATTGAAAGTATAAAGTAAAGCTATCATTATTATTTGAAAAAAATAAAGAAATAGGCTTGGCCATTGCTACTAAAATTTTTTCAGTATGACCTAAATGATGGCTTTTTAAAAAAATACTAATACACTGGATTTTTGAAAGGAAATTTAAAGTATCAGTATTTTTACTCTGTAGCCTTCAATGTTCTCAACTCTGAGCATGTGGTGCAGGAATACTATTCATGCTTTCTTTGCCTTTGTAATAATATTTCAGTGACAGTTGCTAAGTACATTTTGTATCTTGCCTGGAAAATCTTTAATGTGAAGTTTGTAAGAGTTAAAGTATTGAATTTAGTAATCCGTGGTTGTTTTCATTTTAGAGAAATACATCTGTGTAATATCAGTTACATCATAGGCTCTTGTACTTCTAGGTCCAAACTTGAACCTGAGCAGAGCAATGTGTCCAAAGCACCTCTTTCCACTGAAAAATTTTCACAGAGTCCTTTAGAGGATTCTGAAGAAAAACTTTCTGCTGAGGAAAGCAAAGGTAAGAATAAAATGTAGTTACGTTTTGCTTTTTTTGGCAAGGCCCATCTGGTTGATAGTACTTCCTTCACTTTAGAAGGGAAAATTTCTGTGACTGGCATGTTTTCCATTTTCATCTTCCTTGAGCTGATCAGGCTTCTGTGAAGGATATTTTGAGACTGAGGAAGCAGAATCTTAAACTTTTTGACATGCCAAGTAAACAGTCATATGCTATGCTGAATTCTTCATCCTCTTAATAACCTCTTCATGAGCTTTTTTCATTTATTTTTATCAATATCATATCTTCTGAAATTTGTCTGATTTTTCCATATTCCTTTCACTGAATGCAAGGAATTAGAAAGTAGGTCAACAACTCTCTGGGAACATTCTGTAGTTTTAAGCACAGAGACCTTGAGTTGGACACTGCTACAGTAGGAACTCTAAGGTGGAACATGCTCACACAGAGGAGGTTATTGGCTGGTCAGATCCAGTAGTTTTGAGGCTTTCTTCTTGACAGCATTAAGTTGCCCTGCTGGGAGGGTTTCATCTCATCTTTCAGTGGGCAGGAGATAGCCAGAAGTCCAAAGCAGTATCTCTGACCTTGGGGTCATTTCAGATGGTGCAGATCTTGATGGGATTTGTGGGCATTGGTTCTCATTCCTGGTTGCCTGCTTCTCAGGCTGAGAGATAGAAACCAATTCAATTCTCTTAGCCATTTCAGCCTGTTCTGGGAAGTGTATGCTGGCAGAGCTTTGGAGCAGAGTGCCTTTTGGAGTACCACCACTATGCAGATAATTTCACGTTTCATGCATAAAGACAAATCTTGTTTCGATGATTCTGAGGTTGCTTTCTGTGGCTTAAGATCTCCCACTTGTGTTGTTTAAAGAAGACCAAGGTACCCTGTGATTTACAGCAGGATTTTTTTTCCTTCTAATTACATTACATTAGGATAATACTTCATCAGGATAGAACAAATGCAGTGGTTGGCCATATTATTCTGATGAAGTTGTTTCTTTAGTGATTTTTGCTAAGAGTACAGTGCCACTGTTAGGTGACTCCAGGGCCACACAGAGAGTGGATTCATGTGAAGTGGGTGCTCCACTTCTGGATGAAGTTTCTAACATTGAATTACCTCACAATATGTGAATGAGTTCATTTTCTGATAATGGCTTTGCTTATCTTCCTAACCAGTTTGTACTTCTGCAGCCCTATCAGTCTGCCTCTTTTTTTTTTCCCCTGACACTGAATTTATCGAAGTACAGGTTTTGATTATGTGCTGTTTCTAGTGCTTACCTCTTCATAGTGTGGCATAAGTGATGCAGCACACAGGCACACAGATGAGTTTCACCTTAACCTGTTATCAGTGTTTCACAGCTGTGAGCTGGTGCCACTGGAGAAGCAGCAGCATAGTAGCATCTTCATTGTCCTGTGCTCTTCCCTTGTTACCAAATATCCCTTCAATCTCTGGAAGTGTACACTCCCACCACATAGTGTCATTACAATTTTTAGCTCCAAAAACCTGTGCCACAGCATGGAAAATACTGTTCCTTGGTTACCTTGGACACAGCAAACCACTGCAGTAAATAGAAATGCAGCTATTTTATTGCACATTAATTTTGATTACTCCAGTTCTCACTTTCATGAGTTTTTGCTTTAATTTCTATGAGAAAGTAGGGCTCCTGCCACACAAGTTGTGTTGCTGCAGTGCTTACAAGGGGTTGCTGACTAGACTTCGAGAAAACTATGGAACTTGTATATCAAAATAAATCTGTCTAGAACAGTATGCAAATTCACACAGCCTGTGATTTCTCACATAAGGATAAGTGCTGGTTGCTGCTGCTTGTAGAAATCAGCCTTGTGACTTTGCTGGTAGGTGGTTGTCAAAGTGTGAAAATAACATGAACAAGATGACTAGGAAACAAGAAACTCAGTTTAAATCTTGCAGCCTTTGATTTATACTTTTTTTTTTCCAAGTAACTTTCAAATTTTTAGGAAGCCAGAGGATTCTTTGTATTTTGAAATAAGCTGTTTCATCCTCAGGATATCGATGGCTTAGAGAATGGTGATAATTTGTTTTAATGAATTAGCCATCAGCAGCATGCCTGGGTCTCTTGGGTTAAATCTCATCTGTAAAGATACTTTTGAGGGCAGCTTGTGGTCATGTCCTTAATTTGAACACTGTGATGAACAGCTGAATGTTCTACTTAGTGTGCTGAAGCACAACTTGGGTTTTGTCTGTTTTTTTGGCAGAAACCAAAGCAAAATATGTTTACCTTTGTTTTGAGGCAAGGCACCCATTTACATTAGAATTGTAGTAGACATGCCACATGGTAGGAAAATGGTCTCTCTGGAGAGTGCTTCTATATACTGGCAGTATTTATTTGCTTGTTACAAATTTGACATTTAGTTTATGGAAATAAATGTAAAGAATGAGTGGCTTTTTAACCGGTCCACAAGCTTAGCAGCTGTCTCAGCGTGGAAAAAGGTTCAGAGGATTTGATCATTATTTTATATCTTTCTCATGAGTTAACTACTTCTCCTTCTGAACTAGAAATGTAGTTTGGCTTTTGCTGGTTGAATTGCAGAAAAGCATTAATGTCAGCTCCGTGAAAGCTGCAGAAAGCCCAAAACATACCACAGTGACAGGAGGAACCCTGGGGAGATACATGTTTCTTGCTTACCTCTTACCATAAGTATATTTGCTTATTAGCCATCACATTGGATACAGATGTTGTATTTTAACAGTGCTGGTAGGGCTTGAAACTAATTGGTTCCTGTGGGATAAAATAGGGCTTTTCTTTTTTTTTTTCTCCTTAAATAGTTCTTTTATTTGAATACAGTAAATAATTTATTGTAATTTTGATATAATGTAAATATATTGATTACCTAAACAAGTAAGTTTTGTGTTTCCGTGAAGTAGATTTGAAATACTGATAATATCCCATGGGAAAAAATAGATGGATGCTTTCTAAACAATCTTTAAGGAGATTCTTTGGTTTATATTTTATGACTCTTAGGAAAGAACTAATCTGTTTTTTGGTTTGGGCTTGGTTTTTTTAAAATTTATTGTATATCTAATCCACATCCCTCATTTTTAACATTGTCATTGTTTATGCATCCTGGTTAGGTTGTTGGGATGCCAAAAAAAAGTTTATAAAGGATACACACAATACTCTCTTACAATATTAATGTTTTCAAGAGTTTGCACAAATACTATCATGAAGGATAAAAGGGAAGATTTCTTCTTCTATCTCTTTTTATGTATGTGTTTATAAATAGGACTACTCCTTTCAGAGGCTTCCCAAGACAAGTCAGTTTCTGAATAATGATGCATCAGTGCTGCTAAAGCAATTGAAAAAAAATTATGTCTAGAAAGTTCTAACAAAACAAAATACACATGAATGCTTAAAAGATTGACTGGAATAAATAGGAAGCCTGAAATGTATGAAAAGGTAAAAACTAAATCTTTCTGTGTTTTAATTTGCAACCTGCATCTGATGCATCAAAGCAGGTTGAGGGTTGATCCACTGTGGGGTGGGTACAGATTTCTCTTGGGTTTTGTAAGATTGTTACAGCCAGTGGGGAGAAGAGAGGCTCTCTCAAGGCTGCACTCTTACAAGGTTTTTAAATGCTGATGCTAGAACAGCTTCAGAAACAGTAGATTCCTGTAGCACGTTTTTTTTTCTCTCCCATTCTAACTTCCTCTATATTCAGAAGTATATAATTAAGCCTAAAATTAAATCTTCCAGAAGGGAATATCCCAGAAATAGCCCTTCAAGATCTTTTATGTCCGACTCATACAAAGATTTATGCAGATGAGTAGCTTTAATCAAAGGGGAATTACTACTGAAATGAATGAAGCAGCTTTGATGTGTTATGGTTAATTTGTGGGGTTGGAGCTGATTCCTGTTATATGCAGGAAGACCTCTTGCACAGTGTGGTGTGGGATTTGCATTGTAATAAGAAGTTTAAACAGCATGACAAAATCGAGTTTGTCTGTGAGCTTTGCTCAAAACATCCTTGAGATTCTCTCTTAGTTCCTGGAAGGAGGAGCTGGTGGTTCTGTCAAGTCTCACCGGAAGATAATACTTTACATTTAGACTGTCATTTTGAAAATTGCATGTTTTTATCTGTTAAAAGACAACTGCTACAGTACTTTGTGCCCTAAAAATTCTTAGTGCATTATGAGTTGTTTTACATCCTTCTCTGTCAGTATGTTAATGCAACTCTCTTTAGTTCCCAAAATTAAACCAACAAGAAGACTTCTGGCCCAGTTTGGAAATTAAAGGTTATTGATGTAATTTTGTGCTGTAAATACAGGGTGAATCTCAGCAACTGACAAAAGAGATACCACAATTTCATCATCAGTCTAACATGGATGAAAAATTATTTTGACTGTACCATTCTGTGCCCTGTACTATTCAGTGTCTCAAATGTTTGGTGGTTCTTTTACAGACAGGAATCTGCCCAATGCCCAAAGTAACCTTGGATTATGGGGGGATGGCAGAGGTGAAGATGAGCTGTCACCTGAAGAAATACAAATGGTATGTTTAAGCTGTGTCTAATTGTTTTATTGTATTTTCTGCTGTATTCTTGTGTGTGTGGTTAAAAAAAAAAACGTACAGATTCACCTAAATTAACTATTAACATTTTATGAAGAATAATGCTGCAATAAGAAACAATTTTTGCTTGTTACGTCATGGTTCTTCTGGTAGCAGCTAATTTTTAAAAATGCCACAAAATATTTACATGGAGACATGAAATTAATAAAATCTATCTTTCAACAATTGAAATTAAAATTGATTTCTACCATTACAGTTACTAATTGCTTTGCTTAGTCAGGAAACAACAGAAGTCAAGGCAACTTGAGAGGAATCGTTATGAAACTTCTGAAAGAATAAATTGTTTACCCTTTTTTCTTGGACAGTTTCTAGAACACAAATAGTTGTACTATTTAACTATTACTGTGAAATTATACTTAATTTTATTTCTTTTTATTTTTTTATCAAAATCAGATTGGTTTCCTGGAAGGAATAGTTGAATGGTATCTGTCACAACAGTATTTCATGAATTTTAACATTTTTGCATTTCCCTGCTATCAGCACGTTTATAGATTGATCCAATTCTGCTTACATTTGAATAGGAAATTTCTGACATAGGCGTGATTGCTGACAGCCTGTCAGATTTTTTGATATTCCTAAAATTTATCCTTTTGAACATAGCTCAAAATTCTTAAAAACCTCTTTACATTAGCACATGCTGCCTTGGGTTTATATAAAGAAAGAAAAACCGATTTCAATCAGTAGCTGTGCAGATACCAGAACAGTGAGCTTTGCAGGGCAAAGGGCAGCAGTGACTTTGTGATGCTTCCTTGGCAGTGATTTGAGGTGTTCCCAGACACAGTGCACATCATTCTTCCAGTCAGAGATGAGTAAGTTGCACATAATTATGGTATGGCTTGTTAAAGAGAAAATGTTCTTCAGAGACTGTTTTGTATGCTCTCATACTGTTCTTGAGTGCCTTGGATTTTTAGTCATGTATTAAGCAGTTTGTCACTTTATGCCATACTTTGCTAACAGAATATTTCACTGTCACAAAAGAGGCTACTTCAATAAGCCATAAATCGCTGAGCTACACTGATTGCTAGAGCTTGGTTTTATGTTCCCATCATGTAAATCCCTTTGTGACACACTGGTATATGATGTGTTCAGTGCTCAAACCCTTTGTTCAATTGCCTGTTTTAGCATATTTTAACTGCTGTCTGTGCAAGCGCTCCATCAGCCATGATTTCAAGTTGCAAAGATCGTTTAGTAGTTTAAAAGGCAATCTGTGCCAATGGAAGGTTTTAAATATCATAGGGACTTCTTAAAGAATACTTTATTAAGTGGATTTGTGCTACTTGTGAAGGATTAAAGTCATTCACTGTTTCTTCACTGAAAATTTGTCTTCTCAATTAGTTATCATCTCAGTTTTTAAGGCAGCAAAATAAGGAATTTCTAATGTTGAATATTTGTACAGATATCCTTGGAGAAATCAGAAAAAACAATTGCAGCATGCTGGCCCCACTTAGTCACTCAAGGACCAACCAATAATCACAGCACTAAATCTCGTGGCTCTATTTCATTGCTCTGTGCCTTGGCTTTGTTGTGAGTTGACTCCACCAGAACCAGACATACAACAGTCACGAATGTAAAGCAGTGCAGTGATGAAGCACCTTTAGTCATCTGCTGCTGAGAAGTAAATATCACTGTATTTTAGGTGATTATATTGTCAAAAATGCTCTACTCTGTAGGTGGTGTCACTACAGACAGCAGTGACAATGACACTTGAACGTATTGCAACACTGGTATTATTTTATTTGACTAAAGCATTGGATCTTTAGAGTGGAAATCAATGGGACTTCATGGAACTGTGCAGTATGTTGCTTTCTGTTCCTCTTCAATTCATGAAGCTGGACACCTTCCCTGAGACCTCTACCCCACAGGGAAGGTGGCAGTGCCTGGTAACCTTCCTCTTAGACTCTGAAATCCTTTAACCCAAGAGAAAATGCCGTTCTTAACAACGAAGTAGACAGTGAGCCTCTAGTACAAAATGAATCTCAATGTTAAAGGAAATCTGGATAGTAAAATAAATAAAAAAACTTTTCTTCATTCTTTATGATAGAAATCGTCCATGTCAGAAGACTAAACCTTTCTCTGTGAGATTTACTGGTAATCCTTATTCAAACCCATACATGTCATTTCATGTAGACTGAAATTCCCAGACTCACTTCTGGGAAATTAAATCTATAAATTCTGTGTGCCATTTTCTTCTTTCCTTTTTCCAGTTTGAACAGGAGAACCAGAGACTTGTTGGTGAAATGAACAATCTCTTCGATGAAGTCAGGTACAATTTTCTGTTACTTGACAGAGGGTGGCCTGTGCTGGTCCCATGCCCCAGTCAGCCCCTTGTGCAGGGCATTGGCTGCAGGACACCTGCCTCCTCCTGCTCTAGTGTGGGAGCTGGGACAAAACATCAGTGCCCAGGAAAGGAACTATGTGCTGTCCCACAGTGTAAGAATGGTAGCTCTAGTTACATTTCTCCCTTATCCATGTTTTGAAGTACTAAATTTTGTTTCTGTCGTGTTGTCTGCTGGATATTCAGATAGCAGTAGGGGAGGTGTCACTGCTGACCCCATGCAGAGACAGGCAGTGGTGCCATTCACTCTCCCCAGCACTGCAGAACACCCAAACAGCTACTCAAGCTAGAAATTGACTTTTGGGTATCAGTCCTAGGCAAGGTGAACTGCACACACCAGAGTAGCATATGAAAAAGGTGTGTCAAAATCAACTGCTTAAGGCCCAGCTTGGATGTTATTATATGAAATGAAAGAAGGGAGACTGGTGAAACTTGGCAGTGAAAGCTGCTCACCAAGCACTTCTGGGGTGCCTTTCCCAGGGCTTCACTGTGTTCTAGTTGTCTTCCAGACAGGCACGGTCCAAGCCCTAGTCCCAGGCTATTGCTGCTTCACAGACAACTGATGGAGCAGGGGTTTCCTGAGCAGCCACTTACTGGGCTGGAGGGTCTGCATCTGCAGCAGCAAGACATGTTTGCACTAGTTTCTAATGGAGTATTTCTGTTCTTTGCCAAGACAAATTGAAGGAAAAGTGGTGGAAATCTCCAGATTACAAGAGATATTCACTGAGAAAGTCTTGCAACAGGTTAGTATAATTTAATACTACAGCAGCAAATACCACTAGAAGATTTTCTTGGGGGTATTTTAGTCTTGACTGCCAACTTGTGAACATAAAATTAACGAACCTTCAATAGAAATGTGAAGGAGAATATTTTTGTTTGTTTTTCAAATTCAAAATCATGATATTTACTGTTGTTACTTACTAGTATGTACCAGGAATGGAAAATGAGAGATATGTGTTAGAATGATCCCTCTGCCTCAGAACTGGTGTCCTGTTAAATGCTGTTATTTAACAGCATCCTTTCTGGAAATGTTGGCACCTCTTCCAGAAGAGCTGGGAAAAATCACACAGGTTAGATTTGACTCTAGATAAATGGGAGACTTCTTACTGGTCTTGGTGGTTTCCATTCAGGTTTGTAAAATCACTTATAAAGAAATTACAACTTAAATGTCTTACTTTCTGCCATTGCATCAATGAAACAAAGATGTTGATAATACCAGATTTTATTTTACTTTTGAGTTCTGCTTTTTCCCCAAGTCCTTGGAAGTGTTTTTTCATAACATTCATTACTATTTCTCAATTTTATTTATTTTTTTAAACAGGAAACTGATATTGACAATATCCACCAATTAGTTGTGGGTGCAACAGAGAATATAAAAGAAGGCAATGAAGACATAAGAGAGGTAATATCTGGAAGTTGTGTTTTAGACTCATTTCTCTTAACTTTCAGTTTTTTCCAGGTGTTGCTTTAAAACAGCACGTGCGAGCTCACCCACGGGACCGATGCAGCAGGTGTTGGGTGTCAGGTTAGGGGTTTGGGGAAACTGTTCAAGGTAGCTGAGCTTCTCAGCAGTTCACACTTGCTAAGCATGATCTGAATAGCAACACAGGACTGCAGAAATCTACTTGGCCTCAGCAGTTTTTTAAACATGAAGGTCACCTGGCTTGCATTTAAGCACCTGTGAAGTTTTCTGAAAAAAGGAAGGGAGCGGGTAGAAATCGCAGACTACCAATATAAGACAGTGCTGAAATGGTTGAAACAGAATGCTGAGTGTTAGAAGAGACTTCACCTGAACACCTTTGCATGCTCCTAGTAGACAAATCTTTCCAGTCTTTTACTAATTAGAAGGAAAGGATATTTTCTTTTGGGAACTTAGATTTCAATAAAAATTGAGTTCCTAAATTAGGCTACTGAGTCAATAGCTCACTTCCTTCTCCCTCCTGAGAGCACACAGAAAAGTTATCTCCAGGATGAGTTATCCACTGCTCTGCTCTTCTGAAAAGTGCACCATACATAGCAAGAACCGAAGCTGTATTTTGCTTTACTTTTCACATTTTTAGGTAGAATTAAGTTTCCTAAACCATCCTGAGAAACAGTTGTGATAAGTGGTAAAATAAAACACTTTGTTACTCACATTAATGTTTGTATCATGTAAAAAAAAATTTCCATGTGTAACTCTTAAAAGATGAGAACAAAAAACAAGTGTCCTGCTGGTCTCAGATTTGGGAATGAGAAGTCAAGAAAAATACTTGCTCTGAGACTGAAATAAGTGACTGAGTTATCTCCACAGGTGTCAGGGATTTTTCTTATTTGTTTGTTTGTTGTTTGGTTTTACTGTTTTTTAATTTATTTCAAGTCAGATCTTTATTAGAAAGAAGGCCTTATTACTTTTAATCAAGGAATTTCACTTTTGGAACTCACTTTGAAACATGTACTTTCTGATATAGTTCCTAGTGTTTGACTGTATGAGATCTTGTGATGTGTTCAATGGTTTTTACTTTTTTTTCCAAATGTGCAATTAGAAGATTTTGATTGTGACTCAGTGTGATAAAAAGATACAGAGGTACAGCCAACCTGACCTGTACTCACCTGAAAATAAGGGCAAATTCTTTTGTTTCTCTTGTGGGAGGGAAGGGTGATGCCATAGACATTTTGGATTGCCATTGTTAAAACTGTATTTACTGGTATGGTAACAGGGATAACTTTTCCCTCACAGGCCATCAAAAACAATGCTGGATTTAGAGTATGGATCCTCTTCTTCCTTGTGATGTGTTCATTCTCTTTGCTTTTCCTGGACTGGTATGACAATTAATTAAACATATTATTGGCTCCATGCTATGTTTGTAAATGTCCTGACTTTTTTTAGTGGAGGGAGGTACAACAGCATACCTATGCATTTTATGGATTTTTCTCATACCTCTATGATGGAAATATTTTCCAAAAAATAAGTGTGTGCACATATCCATTAGTACATTCATGTTAAATCCCTGTATCAAACATAAAACCGTGCTTATCCTCTGAAGAACATAAAAAAGCCTGTGAAGAAAGCTACAAACTGGAGCAGAGCTAACAAAATTAAAAACAATACTGGTTTTGCCACAGCCACCAGCCTGTCCTGTGGAAAGTCCAGCTCCCATCCCAGAGCAAGAGAAAACTGTTACTGTGCAAAAGCATCTACACTGTCTCAGGCATTTATTTCATCACACCACTTCAGTACACACAGTGATCACTTTGCACATAAATGACCTTTACTTCTAATCCTGTGAAACTACTTAACTCAGAAATCAGCTTGATCTAATGGTAGTAATAATAATAATGAGTCAATGAAAGAGCTTTACTTGTAAGTGAAAAGAGAGAATACAACACAAACAGATTGTGCAGTGAAACAGATGTTCTGGGATGCTGGAACAAAGCCAAAGGATAGACAATTAAACTCTTCAAACTACCAAAACTGGGAGCAATTTGTTAACTAGAAAAAGTCTCAAAATCAAGTATAAATAAGACTCAATAAACTCCCTCCTGATAAATTAGAGGGAAAATGATTTTGACTTCAAGAAGCATAAACAATCTGTTTCTCCTAGATTGTAAGGCTTACTAATTTTATTGTTTATTGTTACGAGGAGAAAAAGAAGTTGTTTCTCATCAGTATTTACTTATGCATTAAAGTTTTTATTGTCCTAAATTTAAGGGGAGGATATGTATCGTGAATCATTTCTATTTAGGACAGTCTTGGGAAACAGACCTTTCCATCTTGTAAAATCTGAATGTTCCCTACAAGTACATAGATATGAAATGCGTGTGTTTTCCCATCTCTCTTCTGAATGTATCTTTCTATACATTTTATGCAATAGGCATCATTCTTATTCTTTACTCTGCACAGAGTGAAAATGTCAAAAGTTTCATGTGAATTAATTATATTCAGTAAAGCAGATGCCTGTTAGGAAATGCAAACAAGGTATCGTTTAAAGATCTTAACATAAACTTGATATTTTTAAATGCAAAGAAAAATTTGGCACACAGTTTATTGCTTCCTAGGCATTCCACATACCATGATGACTTAATAAAAAGCCTTTTACAGCTGCACTGTGTAATGCACATTTCCTATCGAATTTAGAGCATTGAGTCATAATGGTTATTTTTGCTGTACTGGGATGACAGGCTTCTGCTGGAGAAAAACAGACATAGAGCTGACCACATTTGTTCTACTACAGAGCTTGAGAAACAGCCTATACTTATGTTTTCTCTTAATTTTTGTACAGACTCTACCAAAAAAAGGAACTTTTGACATGTCCACTCTCCCTTGTCCCATTCAAGTTACATGAAAAAAAAGGCAACTTGCTCAGATGCTTCACACACTTTTGTATGTTAAATTAATAAGATGTCTTTATATAATGTATATTTAAGATTTATAATAAAAATGAAAACATGATTTCACACAAAGAATAGGTAAGTTTGTAATTACAATGGAACTTTAACGTGCATCCACAATACTATGTTCCTCTACGTCTTTTCCCCTCCCAAGCCACACACAAACAGTTCTACTCTTCACTCCGTTTCTCATGGAGCTCTAACAGCCAGCTGTGGTATCTAATAGGCTACTGTTTCACTTGCAATGCTCCATGTTTTAAAAAGTATCAACTGCAAGCCATACATAAACAGAAAGTTATTTCTAACTAATAGAAAGGGGAAATGTGAATGTCATACAGGAGGAAATTTAGACATTACTCCTTCAGCTGTATCCAACAAATGACATAGTGGACTACATGTACTGTGAATAGACTTTCTGCCTCTTTAGTATGATCAAAAGATGTAATTTCTCATTAGAACATCCTGAACTGTATATTTTTTACACTATCCTCAACACCCACCACTAAAACTGCCTGTGTTTTTCCATAATATCTAGTTTGTGTTTCAGTGCACATCCTTACCAAGATGCTAAAGCCACAGTGGAAATGCAGTTAAATCCTGTTGACAGCAATAAGAAAACATTGAGCATGCCTTGTTGCAGAGAACTTCATTATCACAAAAAACAGTAAAGGAAATGTAAGGAAAAATGTGACCTGACAGATTCTTTCTCCATACAAGTCATTACATTACACCCTGATGTCAGTGTTGACTATCATTCTTGCTCGAGCCCAACCTAAACATCACTTACAGCTTTCAGCTAAACAAGAGATCACTCTAGTTATGGCTGGGGTGTTTCAGTTTGCAAAATGACAAAGAATTCAAAAAATTAATAACTTCAGTATCTGTTCATACAACAGAACACATAATTTATCTAAGGTCCAAGTCCTGAAAATCCAGTGACAAAATCTATCAGTATCCAATAAACTGCAAGAACATATCTAACACTGGATTTTTTTTTTAACATTGAAAATGGTGTCAAAGCTCTACAGCAATGCTGATATGCACCTGGGGTTATGCCCATGAATGTTCTGCAGCAAATTTTTGTTTTCAGATTTTTCTTTTTTTTTTTTGCAAAGCAGTATCAGCAAACAGAAGCAGTTACACCATAAACATGAGTAACCTCTAAATTATCCATAATTATATTTAATGAAAAGTTCCTTGAAGTCCCTTAGTTACCTTCAAATGACATAGTTTTAATAATTAGCTTATCATACTAAGCTGATTTCTCAGCAGCTTCAGTCTCCTGTTCAGACAGTTTCTCTTCTGACAGTACTGTCATCCACGGGGACACGGAGCGCGTGATGGTTTGTTTGGCCAGGTTGTAGTGGTTTATGACTGTGTAAAATTTCCCTCGAGCGCTGGAGTCTTGTTCAGAGTAGTAGTTTTCCAACCCAGCTGGAATGCACTGATTATTCTGAAAAGAAAATCCATTGCTTAGATTTCAGATACAGGCCCCCCACACACATGAAGCAGGTTAGGAGTTTTTTATCCTTTTCCTTTTAGTCGAAGCCAATAGTCACTCTGTGACTAAAGATGCAACGTACAGTAATTAACTACAGTATTGTCCGACTGTGTTCAAAATGTTCTTCCCTGCAATCCTTAAATTACTTGTGCATTTGCCAGGGAAGACCAATCTGGGTATATATGCCAGAATAATTAACATACGAGAAATGTGCTAGCCTATAATTATTTTTAAAAGTATTCAATCTCCAGTTCCAGCCACATTTTGCTGTTTATTCCAGCCCACCAAATTCCAGGTGTTTGGTTTACAATTACAGCTGTCCATATCCTACTGTTAGATTAACTTCAGGCAATTTACCCTGGCGTTTGCAGTCTGAGGGACAGGAATTAATACAGATCTATTGGTGCCAAGGTATGAACAGTTTTACAGCCCAGCAGCTCACACATTATAGGGAAAACTCTGTGGGTGGCCAAGCATATGTGCAAGTGTGTTTACACATACAAAATACTTCAATCCCAATTGTCAGAAAGATGTAGCCAACAGCAGGCTTTTAAAAAGCTCTCTGGAGCTGTGAGACTACATTATATCATTTCCGAGACTGCAAGAGCACTAAATAGAACCTACTAGATGCTTAGAGCTTAGGAAAGGGTAATAGATTATTTAGAGAATAAAATAAAAGTTGAATCCATTTTGCTGTCATCTTAAAAGCCAAAGTGAATGTGCCTGTGCAGTTGCAGGTATTGTTTTTTGCAGGTATAATCCAGGAATTCTTCCAGTCACAGTGCAGGAAGAGCCTACAGAGCAGCTCGTTGCACTGAAGAAAAAGGTTACTTAGACATATACCGTGACCTCCAGGTTTTGGCCCAGAAAGTCTTGGGGTCTCCCTTGCCACACTGGTCAGTCCAGGCAGTCTTGCATTATACTTCAACATTTTAGGGCAGTCACCTGAGAAACTGAATTGACTTGTAATCTAGAAGTAGCTGCAGCTTGAGGAAAAAGTTGTTTACTCATTTCTACTCTGGCTGTTTTTAAAAAGAAATAGAATATTCAGTCTTCTTGCCTTCAGAACCAGAGGACCAAAATTTGTAATACTACAGCACAGCAGCTTTGAACTGCTACTGTTCTCCTACTCAGCAAACAAAATTTTATATTGGGAATTTCTCAGCAGAAAAACACATGCAAAATTCCATGGGTTTTAGGACCAGATTCCACCTTAAATGTGTTCACATTCAGTTCTGAGTTTACTTTTGTCCATGTCAAAAAAAAGAGGCATAAATAAGCACGAGTAACTAGAGTTTCAAATGGTTTTACATCATAAAGCAAAAGATGAGTCAAGCCCAGCAGACAGTCTTAGCTTAATACAAATTTTGCTTCCTAAAAAGGCTAGTATGAAAATATCATCAGAAGGTATGAAAGAATAAAGAAATAGTTGCCAAAACAAGAGGCCCACAGGTAGTCTTAGAACCTGCCTGCCCCTGATGAATTCAATCACTTGGCACAGGTGATGGCTCAAAGATGCCTCGCTGTCACAAGACAACAGCCCTCCCACAGTCAGCACCTCAGCGGCTCAAACCACGGGTAAGACAGAAGCCTCAAAGTGTGTCAGACTCACAGGAGTGCCCAGAGTTTCCACAGCCACCCTGGTTCCATTTATCAGTAATCTTTTGTCAAGGCAACAGCCGGGGCAAATGTCCCTCACAGTTTTGTTATAGTAGCACCACAAAGCAGATGGGATTCAGCCCTGGCTAAACAGCACCTGTGTCTGTTCCACACTCTAAGTCAACAGAGGTTTTCCCATGCTCACAGGCAGTGTATTTGCCAGCTGCAAGACTGGGACCTAGATCATCAAAACATAATCCAGGAATATGGACTAGAGCTATTTGATATGCATATTCATATACATCAACCATGTTGTCTTCTGGAAGTATTATCCATGTTTTATCTGGGATAACTGGTACTACTTCTGATGTGATAAAATGACTAAGAAGCACACAGACACAGACATATTTGTGGTGAGTATTTCACTCAGTCATGGGGTGTAATCACAATTCTAAATATTTAAAGTGGGGAAAGGAACACAATCCATTGAACTAATGAAATCTGCCAAGGAAATTCAAGTAAATATAATTATTACAGCTGAAGACAAGCCAAGATTACTGACAGTCTGGAAAAAAGCTACAGAATCTTGTGTTGCCTTCAGAAGCCATTTGCTTTGTAGCAGGCAAAAATTACTCAGTAAGGGTTTTGGGTTTTTTGTGGGGGGGAGGGGGGAACTTGTAATCATAAACATGCAAAAAACATCTGACAGAAGAGACTAAAGAAACACATCAGTTTCCCTCTTGACTGCATTTTTGCTCCTGGGATTTCATGCTTCTAGAAGAGATGGGAAAACTTCTCATTTACTCACTGCCCCTTGTGTATTGCCTAAGGACAGCCCCTTGGCTTAGTTCCCAGTCAAGGCAAGCCATGCAGCACTCAGTGACTGAGTGATGGAAACTGCTGCTGATTCTTAGCCTGCCACTTCCCTGACACTTTTCAGCTATGTAGAACATTTATTTCCATCCTTTTTATTTGTTTCCATGGTTCCCAGGTGAGAGAAGAAGAAAGGCCATGACAAGAAACTGGAATGCTCCAGAGTGACTTTGCCAGTCTTGTTTTCATAACCCTTCTATTTTGGAAATTAGTTACAGGCTATGGCCTTTGATGCCAGAGAAAGCCCTGGTTTCCAGTCTGTTTCTGGTTGAATTAAGATGATTCCTTTTGTTCCTTTGACATGAAGACCCCAGCGGTATTCACTTAAAAATAGTATCTTCTGTCACGTTAGCTTTGCTGGGTCAGTAATTCACAATTTAACAGATGATGGTGTGGTCTTCAATGCACTGAAATGACTTTGTTGTTCTGTCCACAAGTCTGTCAGAACACAGGTGCTTTGGCAACCAAAGCTAAAGGGTAACAGATACAGTACAGAAAATACTGAAACCCTGGGGAAATTCTTCAGGATCTAAGTGCTCAGGTTTTCTGTGGTGAGTCTCACCAGCAGGTTCTGATGAGTACTCCAGAGAAGCAATCTGCACAGCAGCAGTACTGAGGCTGTCTCAGAAAGCTTGAGCAAGCACAGAAATAACATTGCTGTACAAAGGAAAAGGAGCACCTTTTTAAGCACACCTTCATGCCCTGGAGGCGTAGTACAGCAGAAACCTTTGGAATTGTTCCATGTATGAGAGCATCAAAGCAGAGAAGAGTGAGTCTGACTCAGAGCTTATGCAGAGATTCCTGCAGTACCAGGCTTCCTGAGGCAGGCACACCTTTGCCCTTAACCAAGAAGTCACATCAGCATCTAAAACCTGGGAACATCCAGGCCAGAGAATGTTGCTGAGTCCACCGGAAACAAGAAGCCAGTCCACAGAGACAGTGGTCACAAGGTGACAGACTTCATGTTCCCTAGGACATCTGTGCCAGAGCAAAGATGCTGTGTCTCCTGGCATTATGCCATCAACCAGCTGGAAACAAAACACCACCTCCAAGAAAACCATGAGGAGAGTAACCATGATGCAGCCTGTGTATGTGCTGCACCTTACAAACAGAGCAGGAACTATGGGACTTTCTGCCTAACTTCTGTCCCAAAAACACAGGACCCAAAAGGGAGAAACACAACCAGACTCAGGTCACAGGGCAACTGAAATATAGCTGAGAAAGTGTTCTTTCCTTAAGTATTTGTGACACTGGCAGGAAAAGCCACAAGAAGCCAGAAAACTGCAAAGGAGCTCAAAGGAGAGGACAGCTTGGTGAGAAAGGAAGCAGAAGCAGGAGGCTGTCACTAGACTCACACAGGAACATGTAACTGGATGTTCCTGTCAAGTCAGGATCACATCAAGACAGACAGTCCATATTCCAAACTGCTCCATGCAAAGAGAAAGCTTAGGGGGAAAAAAAGACCTATTGTCCCCTGCCACATGAACACAGAGGGGTTTCAGTGCCTGTCTGAGACAACACAAAAAGCCAACAGCAGAACCAAAAGCTGCATCTCCTGAGTTACAGCCAAGTATTCTAGCCACAGTGTATTTCACCCATGAACAAAGGGGAAGCAGTAACCAACTGAATGCTCAAACCTAAATTAATCCAGAAGGGCATCACTGATTATAATTTTGGACTAGATTCTTGTAAGATATTTATGTGTTTCAAGTGACAGATAAAATCCTGAACAGGATTGTTGAGGAGTGCTGAGGCAACCATCCCTTCTTAAATCCTTTTGAAATTCGTACTGGGTACCCATTTGATTTATTACATGACTAAATATTAAAAAAACTAAAGGGAAGAATGCCATTATCACTGCTACTTTTCTTACCTAATTACAGCCAAGTTCAACTCTGCTAAATTTACAACTGGGAAGTCAATGTTAATTTTCTGACTTTCAGCCCAGGTCATAGCAAAGGAGCCAGCACCACCATCTCACACAAATAAAGTAAGCCCAGCCTCCCTTTTGGTTAGAACCAGTATTTTTTACAATAAATGTGTTTTCCCTTTTTTTGGCATCACTTTTGGCAGTAGGGCTCGAAGGTCACTGTTCTAGAACAAGAAGTTCTACCTACAAAAATAACCCTGAAGTAACTCTACCACTCTTAATGAGAACATCACTCTACTTTTTCTTTGACATGTATTCCAGATTTTTTCCTCCACATTTTATCATTTTCTTATTTCCTAAGACACAGTAATTTGGAGGAATGTGCAACATTAAACCATATGACCCATAAATAAGGGGTTTGTCCAGATAACTGCAGGTGAAGCAAGTCTGAAAGACACCAGTGTTTAGACTTTTGCTATATTTTCAATGTTTAAAGCATTAGTAAAATAACACTATTAATACTGTGCCATAGTACAACTTCAGTTATAAATTACAAAGCAAAAGCATAGCAGGAAGTACGCTAACCTACCTATGTAAAGAAACACTAAATCTGTGCAATACAGCATGTCTTAATCAAGGTTATGCCTTAAACAACAGAGTATTACATACTCTACTGTTTTTCTAGAACAGATATACAATTTACCTTGAAAACAAATCCTTCTGGACAGGTATGATCATACTTGTAAACCTTGTAGACTACCAGAAATACAACACACGTTAAGAATGCAAGGGCAAAAAGGACCAGCACAGTTACCTGTAAAGAAAAATAAAACATGATTATATTAGTAATGCACTGCTTATTCTATTGCTGCTTGTTACTGCAGGCAGCAGAAGTCAGCTGTGAATGCACTTTACAGTAAAATCAAGCAAAAGGATAAAACCAGCTGCTTAATTATTGAGGGAGAACAGAGAAGCAGCACATAAGTGCTTCTCCCCTTCCCTTCTCAGAGAAGAAAGTGGATCATCTGGGCAGTGGCCCGTTGCCTGTGTACTGCAAGGCTTTTTTCGACTGCATTCCTGTTGAAGGCACATGAGGCCAGGACACACCAAGGTAGCTTGTGTCTGCTGTTTTTTCACTATGTGGATGATGTAAGTCTAAGTCTCATCTATGTCAGCTGATAAGCATGTTTGCTTTCCCTGTGCCTGTCCGGAGTCAGGTGATAATAAGTTAGCACACGTGTCATGCAGAGGTGACTTTCAGGGCATGGAGAAAGTAATGTCTGCGCTCTCTTGCTCGGATTAGAGTTTGTTGCACTTGCTCTGAACTTAGGGATAGTTACACCAGTAGTCTGCATTCTAGGTTGCTCAATACTCGTTAATTTATAGGTTGAAACAGTACTACTTCATCACACAGAGCCTGTCCCGGAGTAGTTCACTGCCAGATCCGTAAGGAAATATACCACAGTCAACACTGGGCTGGCCTCCAGGAGTTGTGCGGCACCTCTTTCCACAGTGCTCACAGAGAAGCCATTACAGCCTTGCGTGGCTTTTCACCATGTCCTTCAGCACCTCTCTGCCCCTGAACCTGGGCTGTAGAGAAGGCCAAGACACATCTTAAGACAAACCTGAAATCAGGGTCAGTATCAAGCTAACCTTTCCCAGGTACAAACTCTGAGCAGCTGGACACCAGCAGCCTTCTGGTGTGTCACAAGACAGAATTACCTTTAGAATTACGTCACCCATTGACAAGAAAAAGCACAAAATTTTGTCCAGCAGTTACAGTACAAAGTTCTCTAATTCAGACCCACTTTTGTGGAAGGTGTGAACTGAGCAAATAGCATTCATTACCTGGGAGAGTATCCCAGATGTGTGTTTTTATTATTCTAAAACTGCTACTGATAGACAAATTAGTAGGTCACACAGATTACATAGTAAGAGAGATAGAGATGAATTTTCTTTTTGGCAAGTTAGAAAGAAGGAGGCATGTGCTACAGCATAAGAAACATTAATAAACAGAAACAAGCAAGATTATATGATTCATTTTTAAAAAACTATGATAATTTGATCTAAATTTTACATCAAATATGATCTAAATTTTAAAGTAAGATAAGTAAACCAGCTACGTACACCTCCTGAAAAGAGAACTTAGGCATATCAGGGTCAATTACTTGAAACAAGAATAATCTGGTATTTGAAAAAGCAAAAACAACACATATTGTAGCTTTGCCTCTTGGTAAAAACAAATACCATACACCCCCCCCTTTTGATAAATCTCTGAACTAACAGAGTTTGCAACACTGCAAACTGTGTATGGCAGTAGTATTAGGACATTTCAGGACAACAATAAACTTAAGGGACTTCTCATCCTGTGAAAGCAAATCTCATCATGGGCAGACAACAGAAAGTGCTATATTTCCTGGCTGAAATAAGGTTTCATTTTTTTTATTGTGTGCTGAAGCCAAGGATTTAGTCAAGCCAAGGATTTTTGATATAAAGAAAATAAGCAAAAAAAGGGAAGGGTGGAGTAGAGGCAAGGAAAACTTCAGATCAAAAAGTAATTTAGCAGGAGAAATGTAGATATTAATGTAACAATAACAAGTGAAATTAGACATGGAGCAAAGGATCTTTCTGGTTATAGCAACCTGTTCAGTTTCTCAACAGTCGCTGATTACAAAAAAAAATTCTTAATTAACCTCTGAAAACTTCACATTGACAACAATTTTCGTATCTACTTAGTCTTTCTCCAAGTTTATTACTTGTTTGAGTAGACAAAAAAATATGGATAGCTTACTCTATCTTGCCAACCTTGTATGTTCTCCTTACATCTCCCACGCCTCAGTATGTCCTGCATGAATCCAAGAGATAAAGTATATTTTCACCTTCCTTTCTGGTCATTCTCTGTGGCCCAGTTTAATAACCAGCATAACACACATTCCTGACCCCCTTACACCCTAGCTCAGCCCTTCACTTAGGGTTTTTATCAGGCTTCTGACTCCACACAGCCTTCAGCAAGGGCTGCTCCCTTTAGGAACACAGGCCTGTGACACAGAACACGGGCATCAGGCAGAACTGCTGTGGCACAGATCCCCTCAGCTCGTATTTGTCTCCACCACAGATAGGAGCTAAGAGTTTGAAATGTTTTGAACATCCTCCTCAAGTCCCAAAGTATTTTAACTGTACTTCCTGGCCCTTCTATCAGCAGCCAGTAGTAGAACTGTAATGTTATTTCCCAGCTGTATCCATTCTGATATATAGATAAGGTCCCAGGAACATACTGAGACAATATGAGACAAGCTGTTTTGTAACTGAGACTAAATGTTAAGATAGTAATAAAAAAGTGTATTTCCACAATTACTGCAGGATCATTCTTCAAAGCTTCAAAACTGCTCTGAGAAGTAACTGTTTTTTTAAAAGAAGATAAAAGCCCAGTGTTGTGTTGATTGCTGGGGCCTGGCAAGTTGCAGAGCCATGGCCTCAGGGGTGATTTGCTGCGACCTGTTTTCAGTGACAGTGTAGAGCTGTGAGTTCTCACTGCTTTTACAAGTTCTTCCATTGCCACACAGTAAGCCATGGGAAGAGTTCTCAAGGGTCCTGCTTCAAAAATCTTACAGAATTTTTCTCGCTCACTTACTGTATTTTCTAATGTTACTAATTTTGGTATTAACATGTAAATTTTTACTCTCATTATCTCCAATGACTTGCAATCACACTCCATTTGCAAATTCCTAATCAAGTAAGCTCTTGTCTCCTTCCTATTAGGAGAGAAGCTCCCTTCTCATACCATCCTTCAGGATACAAGTAAGTTCTATTTAAGGACAGTTGCAGATAAAAATGGCACAGATGGAATCTAGCAATGGACTTCTTTCCAAGGTGATTGCCATCACCTGTTAATCCAATCCACTTATCCTTTTTAAATTGAAAATCCATTTCTTTATTCAAATAGCCGTTTTTCTTCACTCTCATAATAAGCCACCACTGATGGTCCACAATGGTCAGATCCCCATGTTCATTTCTGAACCTGAGGCAGTCAGCTTCTCTCCCTGCACTAGCACAGTGCAACCCCACCTCTGTGCCTCACCTTCTGAGGCCTCTCCACACAGATTCTTTTCAGAAATAAAAGCATGAAAAAGAGAAGGAAACAAGCAGCTCTTCAGACCACAAGCAACCAACACTCGAAGTTGTCATTTTATTGCTTTCTTCCAAAGCAGCTTTGTACACTCACTATAAACTACAGTTATTCTCTTCTTACCAACACACTATTTACAACTTGCCCTCTTCCTCAGGCAAGAGCAGCTGCAATGCATGCATGAGCACCACTCCCCTTCTTCTGGAAGGAAATCTTGAATCTCTTTTCTTGTGTTAGCCAGCTGGCAATGCAAGACCCCACACAGTACAAGCAGAAGTCTTGTGAATTACTGTGATCATTCACTGCCACATACATCCTGCAGAACTCCAAGGTGACTGTCACACCTCAAGAGCAATGGGCTTTTAAAATACTTTTCTTGAAGTAACTATAAGATAGGAAAAACAACCGTTTCTTTTAACTAGGAATTCAAAGTGTGATTTTGCTTTCATCTTGAGCGTGGCATTTAAAGTTAGTTTTAAGGGGATCTGGCAGCAAAATGAAGCAAACAGAGAAGATGACAAGATATTATGTATGTGGCAGATTTTTGAATAGATTCTAAGTGAAGAGCAGAAGGACAATGTCTAGCCAGAAGCCATTAGAGTAATCGAAATGAGAGATGACTAATGAATGAACTAAGCATACCCACAGCAAAAAAAACTGTCTTCAGACTCTGTAAGCAGTTAGCTGAACAAATGAAGCTCACCATGTCTGACAACTACACTACCATGTAAACAGCTTGTGCAAAGGCCTTTACCATAAGATCTAGCAGATCTTCCCCATCAGTCCACGCTACTTTGCCTCAACTGTGAAAGACTGCAAGCCATATTTTCTCTGTCTGGCTACTGCAGTCTTCTCCCTCCTCACTCCACTAATGTTTACTTGGACCCTCCTTTTTAATCAAGCTGGAATACTACAGCAAAATTCATCAACTGCACCAACACCGCCTGCTTCTCTTCACACCCTTTCCTGATCGTATTTCAAGGCATGCACAAGTCTACCCTTTTTGCTCCTCTCAGCTCCACCCATTTTGCTGTTTATTTTATCAAACTGTCCCACTAAAGCCTGGGTGCCATCCATTTCTTCTCTGCCTTCATTTCTACTAGTCTAATGCCTCCTCTTGCCTGAGATTCTTGCATTAAGCCACTCATACTGTGCTGTTCTGCACCACACTTTCCTTCATGCCTTTTCTTCCATCAGCACACAAACCCATGTAGAAGCATTCCTGTTATTAAAAGAACTAATAACAAGATATACAATGATTTTCACTGCTCAGTCACTGGCTCTTGGTCACATGTCATCTCTGCTCTACATCTATGCATTATCTATTTGAACTGCAGCCTCTTGGGAACACAACTTTCATTTCTGAATGGTTTGTGAAGTGTGAGGCACAGACCTGCTGCCAGCACTGAACAAGAAGTGTGAAAACATACATTTACAGAACACCTTTCATAGGAAATGATTTATAGCAAACTAATGTTTTGCTCACCAGTAAAATGCAGTGGGTGAAATGCTCTGGGGTGAAATACAGCAACTCTGTACAACCACTTAGGACAGGAAATTAAGATTATTGCTGTGCAATTTAAGCTACAAGAGAATTTTAGGCAGACAGCCTGTAATTACAATAGTTTGTGTCTGGCTACATCCCACAGACAAAAATTCATAAAACACTGCACTGACTTTCTTGCTAA